GCTGAAACTACACGGCGTTATGTCTCCGCAAAGCTGCTCTCGGTCTATTCTCTCTTTGACGACTAGAATCCCTTTGTCTGTCTTCAGCTCCGTGTACTGGATGCTCTCTCCGGTCACGATACGGGCCCGACCAGAACGAAGCCTTTTCAGATCCAAACCAAGGTCCTGTGCTACATTGCCGATTAGAGAGCCTTTCTTCATCTCCTCTGGGATTGAATATCGGATATGTCCACTGACCATATTCAGATAAAAAAGGAAGAAAAGAAGACGCAAATTATGTCCGCAGCCAAAGCGCCATTTTACGCACCGAGTGTCGGGAGGTATTCCACAAGCCATAGCAAAAGGAAAAAACGAAAATATGCTCTACAAAGGTCCAAACACGGCACCTATTCTGAATAAAAACACAGTAATGTTCATCTAAAGAAGACTTCTGTTGTCTTTTCAATTCAGTATTTGAATGTATTCATAAATTAATGCGCGTCTGTTTTCCTCGAATGTCATCCCATATAATGCACACAATCTTCTTTTCTCTCACAGGCCACGGTGGTAAGGGAGGGGACTGTGTGATAATGTTTTCGACATTCTGTTGGATTGACCAACAGCGTCCCTTAGAGCCCAAAATCAGTAACACCATGCTACATATATTATATCTGGGACATTTAGTGTTTGAGTACATTTGATTGGTGGTTAATCAAAATATTTCAACATAGTACTCCACAAAAACACCTCAAAATATTAATCTGACCCTGAGTTTTATCATAATAGTTTTTATGTACTTAGCTCTAACAATGCAAATATAAAATATAATAATATAAAAACAGCATTACATAACGCATCAAAGAAATGAACAAACAAAAAATATCACTACGATTCTATCATGACTCGGGGAAGCACTGGGAAAGAAAAGAAGTTTCGCTAAATTGATTTTAAATGAGAGCAGTGTAAGGGACATTTTTGATTGATGTAAACCATGTGTTTCAGTTTGTGTCATGACGATTTAATGCATATTACGATGCTCCTGAGATCATCCACACTGTACTAGCATATATAGAAACTAGAATGTTATCAACCCGCATAAAGACAAAATAACACGCCCAAGCGATGCCTGTAAAACAATTAAAAAGAATTGAAATAATATAACGAAAGAATAATATAATGTTTAGCAGTTCATTAAATTAATACAGACGTTTTGCACCGAGTAAGAGATGCAGAGTGCGATGCTGTCCATGGTGCTGAAAATGACTGTATACGCGCTACAATTCACTGTTAAACACAGAAAAAGAAATTAAGGAACAGAGATGAAGCTACGTTGTTTAACTAACCTCTAGAGGAGAGTCTGGTTCATCCAGGATGCTCTTTTCACTCTGTATCCGCTGCATCGTCCCTGTAGAACTGGGGTCCATTATCAGCACGTTCTGACTACCAGCTCTGCCAAACTTACAGTCACTCTTTCTGGAGTCAGTCGTCCTGCACACCTCGTAATTGTACACATGTTGGAGAGTCCCTGTCCCCAAAGTGTCTGAGTAACGTGGAGGATAATATGGAATCACAGGGAGATTGGAGTGATACAGGACGCGAGACTGTCTCCATCTGTAGATTTTCACTGATATAATAACCACTAAACACGTGATGAAGAGGAAGGAAACTACAGCCAAAGCCAACACTAAGTAAAAAGTCAGGTTGTCATTGTACTCCTTGTCGTGTGTAAAGTCAGTGAACTCCGACAGCACTTCAGGGAAGCTGTCCGCCACCGCCACGTTAACAATGACTGTAGCTGAACGAGAGGGCTGCCCGTTGTCCTCCACTATAACAGTCAGTCTTTGTTTCACAGCATCTTTATCAGTGACTTGGCGGATAGTTCTTATTTCTCCATTCTGTAAGCCCACTTCAAACAGCGCCCTGTCTGTGGCTTTCTGCAGTTTATAGGAGAGCCAGGCATTCTGTCCAGAGTCCACATCAACAGCCACTACTTTAGTGACCAGATAGCCCACATCTGCTGAACGAGGCACCATCTCAGCCACCAGAGAGCCACCAGTCTGGACTGGGTACAGAACCTGAGGAGGGTTGTCGTTCTGGTCCAGGATCATTATTTTCACACTCACATTGCTACTGAGTGGAGGGGAGCCCCCATCCTGAGCTTTGACTACTAGCTGGAGCTGTTTAATTTGCTCATAATCAAAGGAACGGACCGCGTTAAGGACTCCAGTTTCAGAGTTTAAAGACACATATGTAGAAACTGGACTACCACTGACTTGTATTTCCTCTAAAAGATACGATATTCTCGCGTTTTGATTCCAATCAGAGTCTCGCGCACTAACAGCAAATATGGAAACTCCGGGGGAATTATTCTCTGAGATATAAGCAGAATAGCTGTTTTTATCAAATAATGGTGGGTTGTCGTTTACGTCAGATATTTTAAGATGTAGCTTTCTTGAACTGGAAAGAGGGGGAGTCCCTAAATCCGTGGCTGTTATTGTTATGTTATATTCTGGGACGGATTCTCTATCAAAATATTGATCTGAGATTAAATTGTAATAGTTTGTTAAAGATGATTCGATCTTAAATGGAAGTTTTCCATCAATAGAACATGTGATTTGCCCATTTTTCTCAGAATCGGCATCTTTAACGTTGAAAACTGCAATTGTTGTACCAGGACGCGCATCTTCAGACAAGGGGCTGGAAAATGACATTATATTTATAACTGGGGCATTGTCGTTTATGTCAACAACATCTAATATAACTTTACTTGTTCCGATTAAACCACCTCGATCCTTCGCCTCGACCCTCACATCGTATTTTCTGTCTTTTTCATAATCTATTTGACCAGCCACAGAAATTGTTCCTGTGATTTCATCAATACTGAATATATTTGCTGCACTCCCTTTCATTTTAGACAAACTATAAGTAATGAGTCCATTTGAACCGCTATCCGCGTCTGTGGCATTTACTGTAACAATACTAGTGCCTTTCATCGTGTTTTCCATCACAGATGCTTTATATACGGATTGGTTAAAAACCGGAATGTTGTCGTTAGCATCTAACACGGTAATATCTATATTCACTGTACCTGATCTCTGTGGAGCTCCTCCGTCCACTGCGATTAATTTCAAAGACAAATGTGGACGTTGTTCTCTGTCTAAAGGCTTCTGGAGCACAATTTCACAATGTTTGCTTCCGTCTGGATTTGGATGCTGTTTCAAAATAAAATTGTCGTTTTGTGACAAAACATAATTTTGCAAAGCGTTTTGCCCCACATCTTGATCCTCTGCACTCTGCAGCGGAAACTGGACTCCGACTGCAGCTGATTCACTTATTTCAAAACTGATAGGCGTATCTCTATTTGGGAAGACGGGAGCGTGATCATTTATATCCAAAACCTCCACAGTTATTCTGTGCAGTTCGATTGGATTTTCTAAAAACACCTCAAAGCTGAAGCTACACGGCGTTACGTCTCCACAGACCTCCTCTCGGTCTATTCTCTCATTCACGACGAGAATCCCTTTGTCTATCTTCAGCTCGGTGTACTGGATATTTTCCCCGGTCACGATACGGGCCCGCCCAGAACGGAGCCTTTTCAGATCCAAACCAAGATCTTGTGCAACGTTACCAATAACAGAGCCTTTCTTCATCTCTTCTGGTATAGAATAACGAATCTGACCACCTACCATGTTAACAACATGAAGCAGCAACATAAACAGTGCTATTTGCCGTCGCAGTCCATAAAACAATATCCATTTTTCGGACATGTTGGTGAGAAATCCTCGTGTTGCCATCGTGGCAACAAAGAATGAAAATCCAACTGATATGACGGTAAATCAGGTTGTGAAATCCGTTTCCTGGTAACACTTAGAGACGTATTCAACGTTTATATGCAAGTGTGTGAGAACACGTTCGCTCTGAACCTCGATAAAACAGAAAGAGCCTTCTTCACTGTGTAGTCAGTCGGGGATGGGCTGAATGACGACAGAAGAGAGAAAATATTTCGCTGACCAACAGCGTCCCTCAGAGCCTAAAAGGTGAACAACAAATCTGCTATACTTAGACTTGTATACAGATACACTGAACACATCTCTACCACGTGTGGAACTCACTTTGGAATGATTTTTAAGGAAGCTATAAATGGAAAAAAAGTTTAAACTCCGCATATTGTATTATAACAAATTATGTCTCAACGCAAAACGCTGTGTCAAAAATAACTGAAAATTAAATCTCATTCTGAAACGTTTGCACAAACAGTGGACTCGATCCGAAAGAAAAAAAAACTAAACAACCTGTTTTAAATACAAAAAAACACAATTGTTGTCTTTAAGGGAATGGTGCATTTTTAAATTCTAACACCATGTTAATGACTCCCAGTGATTCAAAAGTTTACAAACTATCATTAAGACTGATGTGGAATTAATGCACTCTCCTCATAAATAAGTTGATAGCAACAATTATGTTTGGACATGTTGAACAATAATATACACAGAAAAGGCAGAGATTAGGCTAGTCCCTTTAATATTCTGTAGAGAAATGTAGGAGGATTCGGGTTCTGCAATATGCTTTTCAGCAGCACAACATTATTTTAACATTACTATATTGTTACACCAACTTGTCCAAGAGCCATTATATCAGACAGCATCCTTTCAAATCATACAAGATTATTGTCTAAACAACAAAGTGAAAATTTGGCAGCAAAGTTTACGCTTTGAAGTTTGAACATCATTGGACAACTTAGTTTCCCTCAAAATGCTTTCCGCTAATAACACATAGTTAAATAATACATTTCGTATGAGATTAACTCATGACCATGTGCTTTTAAAAACCTTCATCTATGGAGACTTTAACAGACACAGTGTTTCATAAGGTGATGCAAACTGGATCGCTGTCCAAGGTGCTGAAAATTACTACATGACAGCGGTTTTAATCAATGAAATAATAGATAGATAGATAGATAGATAGATAGATAGATAGATAGATAGATAGATCAAAAACGCACATAGACCCAGCTGACTTATTTAACTAACCTCTAGAGGAGAATCTGGTTCATCCAGGATGCTCTTTTCACTCTGTATCCGCTGCATCGTCCCTGTAGAACTGGGGTCCATTATCAGCACATTCTGACTACCAGCTCTGCCGAACTTACAGTCACTCTTTCTGGAGTCAGTCGTCCTGCACACCTCGTAATTGTACACGTGTTGGAGAGTCCCTGTCCCCAAAGTGTCTGAGTAACGTGGAGGATAATATGGAATCACAGGGAGATTGGAGTGATACAGGACGCGAGACTGTCTCCATCTGTAGATTTTCACTGATATAATAACCACTAAACACGTGATGAAGAGGAAGGAAACTACAGCCAAAGCCAACACTAAGTAAAAAGTCAGGTTGTCATTGTACTCCTTGTCGTGTGTAAAGTCAGTGAACTCCGACAGCACTTCAGGGAAGCTGTCCGCCACCGCCACGTTAACAATGACTGTAGCTGAACGAGAGGGCTGCCCGTTGTCCTCCACTATAACAGTCAGTCTTTGCTTCACAGCATCTTTATCAGTGACTTGGCGGATAGTTCTTATTTCTCCATTCTGTAAGCCCACTTCAAACAGCGCCCTGTCTGTGGCTTTCTGCAGTTTATAGGAGAGCCAGGCATTCTGTCCAGAGTCCACATCAACAGCCACCACTTTAGTGACCAGATAGCCCACATCTGCTGAACGAGGCACCATCTCAGCCACCAGAGAGCCACCAGTCTGGACAGGGTACAGAACCTGAGGGGGGTTGTCGTTCTGGTCCTGGATCATTATTTTCACACTCACATTGCTACTGAGTGGAGGGGAGCCTCCATCCTGAGCTTTGACGACGAAAACGAGCTGTTTGATTTGTTCATAATCAAATGAGCGCACTATGTGTACTACTCCGCTTTCTGCATTTACAGAAACATATTCAGAGACTGGAGACCCGCCAATATTAGCATCTTCCAGAATATAAGATATACGTGCATTTTGATTTTCATCAGGGTCTCTAGCCCTTAGCATGAGAACAGAAACCCCTGGAGAGTTATTCTCTGTAATAAACGCATTGTAAACACCTTGTGAAAACACTGGAGCATTATCGTTCACATCAGAGACCTTTAAAGTAAATGTTCTTTTTGTGGAGAGAGGAGGCATTCCTGCATCTGTCGCAACAACAGTGATGTTATATTCTGAGACACTTTCTCGATCTAGTACAGTGTCTGTTACTAAAGTGTAGTAATTCCTCAAATTAGATGTAATCTTAAAAGGTGCATTTTGTTCAATTTTACAGTTCACTTGTCCGTTATCACCTGAATCAAGATCTTTCACATTTATAATGCCAATAGTTGTACCAGAAGGAGAATCCTCTGACACAGGACTAGTGAATGACATAACGCTAATAATAGGGGCGTTGTCATTTACATCAGTTACTTCAATTATTACTTTACTTGAATCCGTTAAACCTCCCTGATCTTTTGCCTCGATTCTGAGTTCGTACTTTTTGTCTTTTTCATAATCAATTAAACCTGTTATGGAAATAACACCACTTTCTTCATTTACTGTAAACAAATCACTGAGACCACTATTGAGATCTGAAAAATAATATGTTATAACACTATTTGACCCGAAATCAACGTCACTGGCATTAACAGTGGTAACGTAAGTATCTCTGGGAGAGTTTTCCAGCACTGTGGCTTTGTACACAGATTGGTTAAATACAGGCGCATTATCATTGGCATCAAGAACAGTTATGTCTATATTTACTGAACCAGATCTCTGCGGAGTTCCACCGTCTACGGCTATGAGCTTTAGAGACAGACTAGGGTTTGTTTCTCTGTCTAATGGCTTCTGTAACACCATCTCTGCATATTTCTTTCCATCTGCATTAGAGTTTTGCTTCAGAACAAAATTGTCATTCTCGGTCAAAAAATATTCTCTGAGTCCGTTAACACCCACATCTTGATCCTCTGCACTAGTCAATGTAAAACGAGCACCAGTATTAGCTGTTTCGCTTATTTCAAAATGGATTTTATCTCTTTTGAACTTTGGCGAATGATCATTTATGTCTGTAATTTCAACTGTAATTTGATGTAGCTCCATAGGGTTTTCTAAAATCATCTCAAAGCTGAAACTACACGGCGTTATATCTCCGCAAAGCTGCTCTCGGTCTATTCTCTCTTTGACGACTAGAATCCCTTTGTCTGTCTTCAGCTCCGTGTACTGGATGCTCTCTCCGGTCACGATACGGGCCCGACCAGAACGAAGCCTTTTCAGATCCAAACCAAGGTCCTGTGCTACATTACCGATTAGAGAGCCTTTCTTCATCTCCTCTGGGATTGAATATCGGATATGTCCACTGACCATATTGAGATAAAAAAGGAAGAAAAGAAGACGCAAATTCTGTCCGCAGCAAAAGCGCAATTTTAAGCACCGGGTGTCGGGAGGTATTCCACAAGCCATTGCAAAAGGAAAAGAACGAAAATAATGCTCTGCAAAAGTCCAAACACGGCACCTATTTCGAATAAAAACACACCAATGTTCATCTAAAGAAGACTTCTGTTATATTTTCAATTCAGTATCTGAATGGATTCATAAATTCATGCGAGTCTGTTTTCCTCGAATGTCAGCCCATATAATGCACACAATCTCCTTTTCTCTCACAGGCCACGGTGGTAAGGGAGGGGACTGTGTGGTAATGCTTTCGACATTATGTTGGATTGACCAACAGCGTCCCTTAGAGCCCAAAATCAGTAACACCATGCAACATAGAATTATATCTGGGACATTAAGTGTTTGACTACATTTGACTGGTGGTTAATCAAAATATTTTAACATAGTACTCCACAAAAAACACCTCAAAATACTAATATGACCCTGACCTTAAGTGTTATGCTTTTGTAATGTATTCATCTCTAAAAATTGTCATATTCAACAAAAACAGCAATTCAAAACGCATCAAACAAATTAACAAACAACAAATATGACTAAGATTCTATTATGGCTCAGGAAACCGCTGACAAAGAAAAGGAGTTCAGAAAACCTGGTTGATATTAAAAAAGGGCACTGAAAGGGGCATATTTCATTGTCGGTATAATAATTTAGGTCACATGCAAACCACTGGAGATCAAGCATATTTAAAAACTAGAAAGTTATCAGTCTGTATTCACACAACAGAATAAATCCACTTCATGGGTAAGTAAAACAATAAAACAGCATATCATTGACTGAGAATAAAGAATGTTCTCATGTTTTGCAGTTCTACATATGAATATAGAACTATTTTGCTGACTATTCAAGAGCTGCAGAGTAAGATGCTGTCCATGGTGCTGAAAATGATGGTAAAGCGTGCAACAATTAACAATCAACTTAAGCAAACACAAAAAGAGAACTTAAGCAACAGAGACGAATCTACATTACTGAACTGACCTCAAGAGGAGAGTCTGGTTCATCCAGGATGCTCTTTTCACTCTGTATCCGCTGCATCGTCCCTGTAGAACTGGGGTCCATTATCAGCACGTTCTGACTACCAGCTCGGCCGAACTTACAGTCACTCTTTCTGGAGTCAGTCGTCCTGCACACCTCGTAATTGTACACGTGTTGGAGAGTCCCTGTCCCCAAAGTGTCTGAGTAACGTGGAGGATAATATGGAATCACAGGGAGATTGGAGTGATACAGGACGCGAGACTGTCTCCATCTGTAGACTTTCACTGATATAATAACCACTAAACACGTGATGAAGAGGAAGGAAACTACAGCCAAAGCCAACACTAAGTAAAGAGTCAGGTTGTCATTGTACTCCTTGTCGTGTGTAAAGTCAGTGAACTCCGACAGCACTTCAGGGAAGCTGTCCGCCACCGCCACGTTAACAATGACTGTAGCTGAACGAGAGGGCTGCCCGTTGTCCTCCACTATAACAGTCAGTCTTTGTTTCACAGCATCTTTATCAGTGACTTGGCGGATAGTTCTTATTTCTCCATTCTGTAAGCCCACTTCAAACAGCGCCCTGTCTGTGGCTTTCTGCAGTTTATAGGAGAGCCAGGCATTCTGTCCAGAGTCCACATCAACAGCCACCACTTTAGTGACCAGATAGCCCACATCTGCTGAACTAGGCACCATCTCAGCCACCAGAGAGCCACCAGTCTGGACTGGGTACAGAACCTGAGGAGGGTTGTCGTTCTGGTCCCGAATTATTAATTTCACAGTCACATTGCTACTGAGTGGAGGGGAACCTCCATCCTGAGCTTTGACGACGAAAACCAATTGTTTGATTTGTTCATAATCAAATGAGCGCACTGCGTGTATCACTCCGCTTTCTGCACTAATAGACACATATTCAGAGACTGGAGATCCGCCTATGTCATTAACATCCAGAATGTAAGATATACGTGCATTTTGGTTTCCATCAGGATCTTGCGCCCTTACAGTGAGAACAGAAACCCCTGGAGAGTTATTCTCTGTAATAAACGCGTCGTAAACGCCTTGTGGAAAGACTGGAGCATTATCGTTTACATCAGAGACCTTTACATTAAATGTTTTCTTTGTCGAAAGAGACGGAATTCCTGCATCTGTCGCAACAACAGTGATGTTATATTCTGAAACACTTTCACGATCTAATACAGTGTCTGTCACTAAAGTGTAGTAATTCCTTAAACTAGATTTAATCTTAAAAGGTGCATTTTGTTCTATTCTACAATTTACTTGTCCGTTATCACCTGAATCAAGATCTTTCACATTTATAATCCCAATAGTTGTACCAGGAGGAGAATCCTCTGAGACAGGACTAGTGAATGACATCACATTAATAACAGGTGGGTTATCATTTACGTCAGTCACCTCAACTATGACTTTACTCGAGTCTGTTAAAGCTCCTTGGTCTGTTGCTTCAATGCGAATTTCATACTTCTTAGCTTTTTCATAGTCAACCTGTCCTGCGAGAAATATTACACCCGTTGTCTTGTCAATTTCGAATATACTGTCAATACTGCCTTGCATTTTGGAAATAGAATAATAAATCAAACCATTTGATCCGCTATCTGCGTCAGTTGCATTCACAGTGATGATATAGGTACCCTTTGCGGCATTTTCCATTACAGTGGCTTTGTAGACTGACTGATTAAAAACAGGAGAGTTATCGTTAGCATCTAGGACAGTGATATCTATATTTACTGTACCAGATTTCTGCGGTGTTCCACCGTCCACTGCTATCAGCTTTAGAGACAGACTTGGATATCGCTCCCTATCCAGCGGTTTCTCAAGTACCATCTCCGCATATTTTCTTCCGTCAGTATTTGAATGCTTTTTTAAAATAAAATTTTCATTTGGAGATAAATTATAGTCCTGAAGCCCGTTAACTCCTACATCAGGATCATTGACTGTGGGTAAAACAAAACGCGCTCCCGGTGCTGCTGATTCTCCGATGGTCAGCTGCATGTCGTGCTGATGAAAGGAAGGTGAATTATCATTAATATCCAATACTTCGACCGTAACATGGTGTAGTTCCATCGGGTTTTCTAAAATCAAATCAAAGCTGAAGCTACACGGCGTCACGTCTCCACAAAGCTGCTCTCGGTCTATTCGCTCATTCACAACCAAAGTCCCTTTGTCTGTCTTCAGCTCGGTGTACTGGATGCTTTCTCCGGTCACGATACGGGCCCGGCCAGAACGGAGCCTCTGCATGTCTATTCCAAGGTCCAAAGCGACATTACCAATAAGGGATCCCTTCTTCATCTCTTCTGGGATAGAATAACGTATCTGACCAGAGGCAATATGACTGAGACAAAGAATAAAGAGAAGCCTTTGCGACGTCAGGCTGTGGCAACGCCATCTTAGAGTCCGGGAGACAAATTTTCCGAAATCCATGTTTCCAAATAAATTATAGAAAATTATACCATCGAAAAACGTCTTTTACAATTCCAAATGATTAACAATAACGCAATACAGGTGCCGTTTATGATGAAGATATTCGTATTTCCAGCTTCCTTTATCTGGTAGTGTAAAAAATGTCAAAGCAAAGCCAGTCTGCGCCAAACTCAACGCTGTTAAAGCATATCGACTCTCCACAGAGCAGAATGGTGAAAGGCACCGCCTGAAACACTGTTCAGATTTGTTTTTACTTGACCAACAGCGTCCCTTAGAGTCCAGTCAATGAATATCAACATGAGGACGTAAGATTATTGCAAGTACTATTTTCATAGAAACTGAATACTGGCAGTTCCCATTATAGAGAGGAATAATACCATCAACAGTCAGAGACGTCAAAGTTGAAACAAATACATTAATTAGCATATGATAGATTCATTAGTACTCAGGGGCCGTCATAATTAGTGATCCCATACAACACAGCATATTTTAGGACTGCAAACAGTAAGCAGGAGAACTACAAAAATAAAATTAAAATAATATATAATCTCCAAAAAAGAATCAACTTACCATAAAACACAGTCCAACTAAAGGGAAATTCTACACAAGCAATCCAGTATAAAAATGTAAACACGTTTATTTCAAAATTGCATCATTGACCCCTCTATCAGACCCTTCCATTAAAACAATTAAATCACTTTGAGGTTGTAATATAAAGGCAATAATAATATAGGTACAACACTCTCCTGTAATCTACAGTCATATGTAACTGTTCTTATGTTAAGTAGTGGTGAACAGCACAAATGTAGGAAGTAGTTTGAACTTTATGTAGTGCAGCAAATGCGATCAAAACATGCCATGAGAGATTCTGATGAATCAAGCAATACAGAATAAGCAATATACAATAAGTACTAATATGTTAATGACTGATGCTTGCTACAACTTTAACTGAGAAATCCATGTGCAGATAGTATATTAACTAAATGAAAAAGGTTGGCTGTTTAGCTGTGCTGTACTATTATATTTTGGAAAAGTAAAATACATTAATATCAACATATTTTGCATGAAATAGAGTTGGAAACTACTGCTGAAACTGCAAAGGGGGGTTGCAGAAGGACAATTCTTATGAACTGAGCCACTGTGATGCTGTCCATGGTGCTGAAAATGACAGTTCAGTATTCAGCTGTTCTCCATCAATGCAATTTAAAAAGATGAAAAGAGATGAATGGACAAAAGAAAGAAAGAAAGATATATTATCCTAACTGACCTCTAGAGGAGAGTCTGGTTCATCCAGGATGCTCTTTTCACTCTGTATCCTCTGCATCGTCCCTGTAGCACTGGGGTCCATTATCAGCACGTTCTGACTTCCACCTCTGCCGAACTTACAGTCACTCTTTCTGGAGTCAGTCGTCCTGCACACCTCGTAATTGTACACATGTTGGAGAGTCCCTGTTCCCAAAGTGTCTGAGTAACGTGGAGGATAATATGGAATCACAGGGAGATTGGAGTGATACAGGACACGAGACTGTCTCCATCTGTAGACTTTCACTGATATAATAACCACTAAACACGTGATGAAGAGGAAGGAAACTACAGCCAAAGCCAACACTAAGTAAAGAGTCAGGTTGTCATTGTACTCCTTGTCGTGTGTAAAGTCAGTGAACTCCGACAGCACTTCAGGGAAGCTGTCCGCCACCGCCACATTAACAATGACTGTAGATGAACGAGAGGGCTGCCCGTTGTCCTCCACTATAACAGTCAGTCTTTGTTTCACAGCATCTTTATCAGTGACTTGGCGGATAGTTCTTATTTCTCCATTCTGTAAGCCCACTTCAAACAGCGCCCTGTCTGTGGCTTTCTGCAGTTTATAGGAGAGCCAGGCATTCTGTCCAGAGTCCACATCAACAGCCACCACTTTAGTGACCAGATAGCCCACATCTGCTGAACGAGGCACCATCTCAGCCACCAGAGAGCCACCAGTCTGGACTGGGTACAGAACCTGAGGGGGGTTGTCGTTCTGGTCCTGGATCATTATTTTCACACTCACATTGCTACTGAGTGGAGGGGAGCCTCCATCCTGAGCTTTGACGATTAACTGAAGCTGTTTAATTTGCTCATAATCAAAGGAAAGGACCGCGTTAAGCACTCCAGTTTCAGAGTTTAAAGACACATAAGTAGAAACTGGACTACCACTGACTTGTGTGTCCTCTAAAAGATAAGAGATTCTCGCGTTTTGATTCCAATCAGAGTCTCGCGCACTAACAGCAAATATGGAAACTCCGGGGGAGTTATTCTCTGTGATATAAGCAGAATAGCTGTTTTTATCAAATAATGGTGGGTTGTCGTTTACGTCAGATATTTTAAGATGTAGCTTTGTTGAACTGGAAAGAGGGGGAGTCCCTAAATCTGTGGCTGTTATTGTTATATTATATTCTGAGACAGATTCTCTATCAAAATACTGATCTGAGATTAAATTGTAATAGTTTGTTAAAGATGATTCGATCTTAAATGGAAGTTTTACATCTATGGAACATTTGATTTGCCCATTTTTCTCAGAATCGGCATCTTTTATGTTTAAAATAGCAATCGTTGTATCAGGGGGTGCATCCTCAGATACAGGGCTGGAAAATGACATAATATTTATAACTGGGGCATTGTCGTTAATATCAAAAACATCAATTATAACTTTACTTGTTCCGATTAAGCCACCCTGATCCTTTGCCTCGACCCTCAACTCGTATTTTCTGTCCTTTTCATAATCTATTTGACCAGCCACAGAAATTGTTCCTGTGATTTCATCAATATTAAATATATCCGCTGCACTCCCTTTCATTTGAGACAAACTATAAGTAATGAGTCCATTTGAACCGCTGTCCGCGTCTGTGGCATTTACTGTAACAATACTAGTGCCTTTCATCGTGTTTTCCATCACAGATGCTTTATATACGGATTGGTTAAAAACCGGAACGTTGTCGTTAGCATCTAACACGGTAATATCTATATTCACTGTACCTGTTCGCTGTGGAGTTCCTCCGTCAACTGCGATTAATTTTAAAGACAAACTGGGACGCTGTTCTCTGTCTAAAGGCTTCTGGAGCACAATTTCACAATGTTTGCTTCCGTCTGGATTTGGATGCTGTTTCAAAATAAAATTGTCGTTTGGTGACAAAACATAATTTTGCAAAGCGTTTTGCCCCACATCTTGATCCTCTGCACTCTGCAGTGGAAACTGGACTCCGACTGCAGCTAATTCACTTATTTCAAAACTGATGGGCCTGTCTTTATTTTTGAAGACTGGAGCGTGATCATTTATATCCAAAACCTCCACAGTTATTCTGTGCAGCTCCATTGGATTTTCTAAAATAACCTCAAAGCTGAAGCTACACGGCGTTACGTCTCCACAGAGCTCCTCTCGGTCTATTCTCTCATTCACGACAAGAATCCCTTTGTCTGTCTTCAGCTCGGTGTACTGGATATTTTCCCCGGTGACGATACGGGCCCGCCCAGAACGGAGCCTTTTCAGATCCAAACCAAGATCTTGTGCAACGTTACCAATAACAGATCCTTTCTTCATCTCTTCTGGTATAGAATAACGAATCTGACCACCTACCATGTTCACAACATGAAGCAGCAACAAAAGCAGTCCTATTTGCCGTCGCAGTCCATAAAACAATAGCCATCTTGCGGATATGCTGGTGAGAAATCCTCGTGTTGCCATCGTGGCAACAAAGAATGCAAATCCAACTGATATGACGGTAAATCAGGTTGTGAAATCCGTTTCCTGGTAACACTTAGAGACGTATTCAACGTTTATATGCAAGTGTGTGAGAACACGTTCGCTCTGAACCTCGATAAAACAGAAAGAGCCTTCTTCACTGTGTAGTCAGTCGGGGATGGACTGAATGACGACAGAAGAGAGAAAATATTTTTGCTGACCAACAGCGTCCCTCAGAGCCTAAAAGTTGAACAACAAATGAGGCCCCTGCTATACTTAGACTTGTATATAGACAAACTGAACACACCTCACGTGGAAATCACTTTGGAATGACTATTAAGGAAGCTATAAATTAAAACACGTTTCAAATCAGCATATTATATCATAAAAAAAATATTTCGAACGCAAAACGTTCTGTCAAAAATAACTGAAAATGAAATCTCATTCTGAAACGATTAAAAAACAGTGGACTGGATCCGAAAGAACAAAACTAGACAACCTATTTCAAATAAAACATATATGTAATTCTTGTCTTTAAGGGAAATATGAATGTTTGAATTCTAAGACCATGTTAATGACTCCCAGTGATTCAAAAGTTTACAAACTCTCATTAAGACTGATGTGGAATTAATGCACTCTCCTCATAAATAAGTTGACAGCAACAATTCTCTTTGGGCATGCTGAACAGTTATATACACAGAAAAGGCAGAAAGAAGCCTAGTCCCTTTACTATTCTGAAGAGAATTGTAGGAGGATTCAGGTTCTGCAATATGCTTTTCAGCAGCGCAACATTATTTTAACATCATTTTGTTCTTACATCAACTTTTCCAAGAGCCACTATATCAGAGCGCATCCTTTCATATCATACGAGATTATTGTATAAACAACAAAGTGAAAATTTGGCTGCAAAGTTTACGCTTTGAAGTTTGAACATCATTGGACAACTTAGTTTCCCTCAAAATGCATTTTACTAATAAAACATAGTTACATAATAAAGTTCGTATAAGATTAATTCATGAGGATGTGGTTTTAGAAAGCTGCATCTATGGAGACTTTAACAGACAGCATTTTACAAGGTGATGCAAACTGTTACGCTGTCCATGGTTCTGAAAATGACAACATGAATCAGCGGTTTTAACAATGCAATAATAGATAGATAGATAGATAGATAGATAGATAGATAGATAGATAGATAAAAAAAGCACATAGACCCAGCTGGCTTATTTAACTAACCTCTAGAGGAGAGTCTGGTTCATCCAGGATGCTCTTTTCACTCTGTATCCGCTGCATCGTCCCTGTAGAACTGGGGTCCATTATCAGCACGTTCTGACTACCAGCTCTGCCGAACTTACAGTCACTCTTTCTGGAGTCAGTCGTCCTGCACACCTCGTAATTGTACACGTGTTGGAGAGTCCCTGTCCCCAAAGTGTCTGAGTAACGTGGAGGATAATATGGAATCACAGGGAGATTGGAGTGATACAGGACGCGAGACTGTCTCCATCTGTAGATTTTAACTGATATAATAACCACTAAACACGTGATGAAGAGGAAGGAAACTACAGCCAAAGCCAACACTAAGTAAAAAGTCAGGTTGTCATTGTACTCCTTGTCGTGTGTAAAGTCAGTGAACTCCGACAGCACTTCAGGGAAGCTGTCCGCCACCGCCACGTTAACAATGACTGTAGCTGAACGAGAGGGCTGCCCGTTGTCCTCCACTATAACAGTCAGTCTTTGTTTCACAGCATCTTTATCAGTGACTTGGCGGATAGTTCTTATTTCTCCATTCTGTAAGCCCACTTCAAACAGCGCCCTGTCTGTGGCTTTCTGCAGTTTATAGGAGAGCCAGGCATTCTGTCCAGAGTCCACATCAACAGCCACCACTTTAGTGACCAGATAGCCCACATCTGCTGAACGAGGCACCATCTCAGCCACCAGAGAGCCACCAGTCTGGACTGGGTACAGAACCTGAGGGGGGTTGTCGTTCTGGTCCTGGATCATTATTTTCACACTCACATTGCTACTGAGAGGAGGGGAGCCTCCATCCTGAGCTTTGACGATTAACTGAAGCCGTTTAATTTGCTCATAATCAAAGGAACGGACCGCGTTAAGGACTCCAGTTTCAGAGTTTAAAGACACATAAGTAGAAACTGGACTACCACTGACTTGTATTTCCTCTAAAAGATAAGAGATTCTCGCGTTTTGATTCCAATCAGAGTCTCGCGCACTAACAGCAAATATGGAAACTCCGGGGGAATTATTCTCTGTGATATAAGCAGAATAGTTGTTTTTATCAAACAATGGTGGGTTGTCGTTTACGTCAGATATTTTAAGATGCAATTTTGTTGAACTGGGAAGAGGGGGAGACCCCAAATCCGTGGCTGTTATTGTTATGTTATATTCTGAGACAGATTCTCTATCAAAATATTGCTCTGAGATTAAATTGTAATAGTTTGTTAAAGATGATTCGATCTTAAATGGAAGTTTTCCATCAATAGAACATTTGATTTGCCCATTTTTCTCAGAATCGGCATCTTTTATGTTCAAAACAGCAATTGTTGTACCAGGGGGTGCATCTTCAGACAAGGGGCTAGAAAATGACATAATATTTATAACTGGGGCATTGTCGTTAATATCAAAAACATCTAATATAACTTTACTTGTCCCAGTTAAGCCACCCCGATCCTTTGCCTCGACCCTCACCTCGTATTTTCTGTCCTTTTCATAATCTATTTGACCAGCCACATAAATTGTTCCTGTGATTTCATCAATACTGAATTTATTTGCTGCACTTCCTTTCATTTTAGACAAACTATAAGTAATAAGTCCATTTGAACCGCTATCCGCGTCTGTGGCATTTACTGTAACAATACTAGTGCCTTTCATCGTGTTTTCCATCACAGATGCTTTATACACGGATTGGTTAAAAACCGGAGCATTGTCATTGGCATCTAACACGGTAATATCTATATTCACTGTACCTGATCTCTGTGGAGTTCCTCCGTCCACTGCGATTAATTTTAAAGACAAATGTGGATGTCGCTCTCTATCTAAAGGCTTCTGGAGCACCATTTCAACATATTTACTGCCATCTGGATTTGCATGTTGCTTCAAAATAAAATTGTCGTTGTGTGATAAAACAAAATCTTGTAGCGCATTTTGCCCCACATCTAGATCCTCTGCATTCTGCAGTGGAAACTGAACTCCAACTACAGCTGATTCACTTATTTCGAGGCGGATAGGAGTATCTCTATTTGGGAAGACGGGAGCGTGATCATTTATATCCAAAACCTCCACAGTTATTCTGTGCAGTTCGATTGGATTTTCTAAAATAACCTCAAAGCTGAAGCTACACGGCGTTACGTCTCCACAAAGCTCCTCTCGGTCTATTCTCTCATTCACGACGAGAATCCCTTTGTCTGTCTTCAGCTCGGTGTACTGGATATTTTCCCCGGTCACGATACGGGCCCGCCCAGAACGAAGCCTTTTCAAATCCAAACCAAGATCTTGTGCAACGTTACCAATAACAGAGCCTTTCTTCATCTCCTCTGGTATAGAATAACGAATCTGACCACCTACCATGTTAACAACATGAAGCAGCAACATAAACAGTCCTATTTGCCGTCGCAGTCCATAAAACAATAGCCATCTTGCGGATATGCTGGTGAGAAATCCTCGTGTTGCCATCGTGGCAACAAAGAATGAAAATCCAACTGATATGACGGTAAATCAGGTTGTGAAATCCGTTTCCTGGTAACACCTAGACACGTCTTCAACGTTTATATGCAAGTGTGTGAGAACACGTTCGCTCTGAACCTCGATAAAACAGAAAGAGCCTTCTTCACTGTGTAGTCAATCGGGGATGGACTGAATGACGACAGAACACAGAAAATATTTAGCTGACCAACAGCGTCTCTAAGAGCCTAAAAGGTGAACAACAAATGAGGCCCCTGCTATACTTAGACTTGTATATAGACAAACTGAACACACCTCGTTTGGAAATCACTTTGGAATGACTATTAAGGAAGCTAAAACACGTTTCAAATCAGCATATTATATCATAAAAAATTACGTCGAACACGAAACGCTCTGTCAAAAATAACTGAAAATGAAATCTCATTCTGAAAATATTCACAAACAGTGGACTGGACCAGAAAGAAAAAAACTAGACAACTTATTTAAAATAAAAAATATATATATAATTGTTGTTTTTAAGGGAAATATGAATGTTTGAATTCTAAGACCATGTTAATGATTCCCAGTGATTCAACAGTTTACAAACTCTCATTAAGACTGATGTGGAATTAATGCACTCTCCTCATAAATAAGTTGATAGCAACAATTATGTTTGGACAAGTTGAACAATAATATACACTGAAAAGACAGAGAGAAGGCTAGTCCATTTAATATTCTGAAGAGAATTGTAGGAGGATTCAGGTTATGCAATATGCTTTTCAGCAGCACAACATTATTTTAACGTTATTTTATTCTTACATCAACTTTTCCGAGGGCCATTATATCAGACAGCATCCTTTCATATCATACGAGATTACTGTATAAACAACAAAGTGAAAACTTTGGCAGTAAACTTTGCGATTTGAAGTTTGAACATCGTTGGAAAACTTAGTTTCCATCAAAATGCATTTTACTAATAAAACAAAGTTACATAATAAAATTTGTGTAAGATTAATTCATGAGGATGTGCTTTTAAAAAGCTGCATCTATGGAGGCTTTAACAGACAGCATTTTATAAGGTGATGCAAACTGTTACGCTGTCCATGGTGCTGAAAATGACATCATGAAGCAGCAGTTTTTATCAATGCAATAATAGATAGATAGATAGATAGATAGATAGATAGATAGATAGATAGATAGATAGATAGATAAAAAACGCACATAGACCCAGCTGGCTTATTTAACTAACCTCTAGAGGAGAATCTGGTTCATCCAGGATGCTCTTTTCACTCTGTATCCGCTGCATCGTCCCTGTAGAACTGGGGTCCATTATCAGCACGTTCTGACTACCAGCTCTGCCGAACTTACAGTCACTCTTTCTGGAGTCAGTCGTCCTGCACACCTCGTAATTGTACACGTGTTGGAGAGTCCCTGTCCCCAAAGTGTCTGAGTAACGTGGAGGATAATATGGAATCACAGGGAGATTGGAGTGATACAGGACGCGAGACTGTCTCCATCTGTAGACTTTCACTGATATAATAACCACTAAACACGTGATGAAGAGGAAGGAAACTACAGCCAAAGCCAACACTAAGTAAAAAGTCAGGCTGTCATTGTACTCCTTGTCGTGTGTAAAGTCAGTGAACTCCGACAGCACTTCAGGGAAGCTGTCCGCCACCGCCACGTTAACAATGACTGTAGCTGAACGAGAGGGCTGCCCGTTGTCCTCCACTATAACAGTCAGTCTTTGTTTCACAGCATCTTTATCAGTGACTTGGCGGATAGTTCTTATTTCTCCATTCTGTAAGCCCACTTCAAACAGCGCCCTGTCTGTGGCTTTCTGCAGTTTATAGGAGAGCCAGGCATTCTGTCCAGAGTCCACATCAACAGCCACCACTTTAGTGACCAGATAGCCCACATCTGCTGAACGAGGCACCATCTCAGCCACCAGAGAGCCACCAGTCTGGACTGGGTACAGAACCTGAGGAGGGTTGTCGTTCTGGTCCTGGACACGCACAATAACTGTTGTGTTACTACTTAGTGGTGGCGAGCCTCCATCTTGTGCTTTAACTCGTATTTTATACTCTTTGACTTGTTCATAGTCGAGTGAACGCAAAGACTGAATGACTCCACTCTCTGTATTAATGGAGAAATATGCAGAGACCGGATTTCCACTAACATCACCGTCAATAAGAAAATACGACATGCGCGCATTCTGACCCTGATCTGGATCGGTGGCGTGGATCTGCAACAGAGTGCCACCAGGAGAATTGTTCTCCATTACCTGAGTGCTATAAACACTTTGGCTAAAAGCCGGTGCGTTGTCATTAATATCAATAACGTCTAAAACGACGGTTTTGCTGCTTGATAAGGCGGGCAAGCCCTCATCTGTGGCAGTGAGAGTGATGTTGTACTTAGAAAGCTTTTCTCGGTCCAGAACTTGCTCCGTGACCAATGTGTAATAGTTTCTTAGAGACGATTTAATTTTGAACGGGAGAATTTCATCTATATTTAAATGCACCTGTCCATTTTTACCGGAATCTTTATCTTGAACACTAATCAAGGCCACAACTGTGCCCGGAGTAGAATCCTCTGAAATTTTACCCGAATATGAAGCCATTGTGATAACTGGACGGTTATCATTCACATCTCCAATCTCAATTATCAATTTGCTGGCGCCGACTACACCCCATGGATCTTTTGCTTGAAGATTTATTTCGTAATTTGGAGAAACCTCATAATCAATGTCACCGGTGAGTTTAACCTCTCCGGTGTACGAGTTTATTTCGAAAGGACAGGAGGAATCCTCCTCTAGGTGGGTGAAAGAATATGTGATGTTACCATTGTAACCCTGGTCCGCATCTACGGCACTGACTCTGGCAATAACTGCGCCACGCAAAGCATTTTCCAAGACAGATGCTTTGAATACAGACTGTGTGAAAACGGGTGCGTTGTCGTTTGCGTCCAGAACAGTTACATGTATCTTTACTGTTCCAGACCTCTGCGGTTCTCCACCATCTGCAGCCGTTAATATGAGCGTATGCTCGCTTTGTCTCTCGCGGTCCAAACCACTGTGAAGCATCATTTCAGCATACTTACTACCATCCGTTCGCGTGTGTTGTTTGAGAACAAAAAGATCGTTTGCTTTTAAAGAGTAACTTTGCAGCGAGTTTATTCCCACGTCTGGATCAGCTGCGCTATCAAGAAGGAATACAGTCCCCGTGGGCGTCGATTCGCTTATTTCCAAATTAATTTCCTTTTGGGAAAAGCAGGGGCATGGTCGTTTACATCTTGTATTTCGATGGTAATGGAAAACAATTCAAGTGGATCTTCGAGGACAATTTCTAGACTAAAGCTACAGGGGGGATTTCTTGGCGCATAATTTTTCTCTGTCAATTCTTTCATTGACAACGATATGCCCTTTGTTCTGGTTGAGCGCGACATATTGGTGATCGCCATCTATTGCGAGTCGAGCCCGACCAGAAACCAACCTTTTAACATCCAAGCCCAGGTCTTTAGCAACGTCTCCGACAAACAGCCCTTTCCTCATCTCCTCAGGTATAGAATAACGAATTTGTCCGCTAACCGCAGCAACAACGCAGAGAATCAAAATGGAGACTCTCCAATCCAGTGAGGTGCCTTTGCTCTTCAGAAAATCCATTTTCCCCAAAAAATGTCAGATCCAAAATTACAGTTATCCGTACAGGGAAAGAGGCCTCCTATTTCGCTCACAGCATAGACCGTATGTTTTGTGATCTTAAATCAAATCCATACAATGCCACCTTCCATAGAGTCTTAGCGAGTACAAAACAATCCTCTATTTTCCTCACAGACGGGCGGTGACTTGTGGTAAAGCTGGTGTTGGACAAACAGTCTGCTTAGGCAACAGCACCACCAACAGTGGTAAAGTAAAACAACACCATCATCGGTTTGTGTGGAACAATGCTCTGTCTGCTCTGTGTAATCTACTGTATCCAAACGTTACACACCCTTCATGTCCAACCTTTAAATGAACCTTCAATTCTTCAATATCTCCTTTGTTTTTCTCAGTCTGAGAGTCAGTATGAGTCAAGAGTGAAACGTTATGGTTAAAAATACAAGTGGGTAAGCTTGGGAATACACATAAAGTAAGACAATACAGAGTGATCAGATAGATAGATAGATAGATAGATAGATAGATAGATAGATAGATAGATAATCTTTTCTCTGCTGATCCAATCTGACTGATAAGTCCAGTGACCTACATTTGAGCAGTGGAATTAAACATCTAATATGAAACTACTGCAACACTCATCCACAAGCACGAACAAATACTGACACATTTCACACCGTTTCTTATCCATGCAGCTAAAACTTGATTTCTGCACAGGTAGGGATGCCTACACTTAAATGGGTCACAGTAGTGCCATGCATCGTCCCCATGTTCACACATAATATTAGCATATACTGCTGCAGAGCATAACATTCTGCACATCATGATTGTGCATTATTCAGGCAGTGGCTGCGCAGAAGCAGCTTGATTATTAATATTAATGTAGTTTAAAGCCTAGGGTGTAAGCACATGGCACACACAAATAAGAGCAATACAGCTGCCTGCATTACAAGACTAATAGCAACCATTTCAGCCTTGCATGAAAATTACTTTTAAAGCAATATCGGAGAAGATATGTGCCTTACAAACATTCATAATGTTAGGTTTGTCTGTTTGTTTCAATACAGTTTGTGTATGTTGGAAAAGAGATACAGAAGAAAAGAGCGAAAGCAAAAGAAAGAGATGGATGATAGAAACTCATTCAGGGTCAGCTGTGTTCCATATTGATTGTGGGAGTTGGGTATGGTGTTGATGTAATACTAACATGCATACGTATGCATGGTAGGTCTATATACGTGTACTGTGTGAGATTCAAGGAGAAAGAAAACTGATAATTATCTTACCTGCTGCATCAAAATGGAAGTTTCATTCGAAGAGTGCACCATGAAAGAAAGGAGAAAAAGGAAAACTGTTAGTATGAATCCTGATAAACAGAAATGGATCATCTCTTGTCACATTATTTTACATTCATTTGTATATCCACAGTGAAATAATGTATAATATAATGGTTTGATCCAGTGAAATATCAGACACTGTGATATGTCTTGTTGTGTAATCAGCCCAAAGAAGTAAGGGCTACTCCAAGTTCATCAGTTGCTGAAACCAGTATGTTTCCTAATTCATTTAGCTATTTTTGGGGAAATAAAAACAAGATATTGTCAACCAAGCTAAAGCTTAAACCTGCTTAGCTTTGTTCTGCTCCATTTCCAGCTCACTGCAGAACACTGATAATAAAATTGCGTGCCGTGTGTTCCTCTTTTAATTGAGTCTTCAGAAGGTAGGTAGGATTGTTGCCATAGGAAGACACATCTCTCCTCTAATTTAACCTAATGCTGAATACGTCTGTTTCCGAACACTAAACTTATATGTCACTATGCTTCCTATATTTTTTAACCACCTTTGATGTTATTATTTAGAACAATGATGAATTATTAACCCTGACAACAAATCATTTTTTAAAAAGTGTCAAGAAAAAGAAATGTATGTCTACAGAAATGCCTTATGAAATATACTGTCTCTGTCTTATAACCAAATACACACAAAGTGTAGCTCAAAGGTGTTGCTATCCCACTCCTATAATTAAACACATTATGTTTCCCAACATTTAATAGCCTGCTGTGCACAAGACATTCCCATTAAACAAAACTAAGCTACCCTCAATATTTAAAAACACTGAAAACTCTCTGATGCTTGCAATTAAAATCAGTCATGCTGTTAAATTTACATACTTTTCTATGATTCTCCAATGTTGTCAACCACACTGCTTAAAAACTGCTCTTGTGACCCAGAAAATAATAAAACATTAAACACTGCTTGTTTTTTTCTCTCTCTCTTTCCATGGCGGAAATTAGGAGCACAAATGAGCCTGCAGCTATAACACGAACAGGAACACACATGAATTCACATCGGAATTCTTTTGCTGCCAAAACCTCTCTGCTTCACTACCATGACATAGTCAGTAGAAGGCAGGCAGGAAAGCAAGCACACACACACACACACACAAACACACACACACACACACACACACACACACACACACACACACACACACACACATCATCATTTAATTGTTATATAATACTCTAACCACTGACCTGAGTGCAGTTTCAAACTACGATACTTTTATAGATATAACATTATTTTGTTTTCTGTTGTTTATATCATTATCTCTCTTTTTTTTACTGTTGTATGTCCTGAGCATTTGTGTCTTGATGCTGCTTTAATTCCACTGCTAATTTCAAAAAACAATATTATATATAGAAAGAAAGAAAGAAAGAAAGAAAGAAAGAGAGGCCCAGCTGATTTTATACAATAGCTGAGCTTTTAAAAGGAATCATCCTCCATTATGACCACCTGGGCACCCTGGTGGTCATAATGTTATGCAGCCTCATACACAACAAACTGTGACGCACTGTGTGTTCTGACACCTTTCTATGAGAACCAGAATTAACCTTTTCAGCAGTTTGAGCTACAGTAGCTTGTCTGTTGGATCAGACCACATGGGCCAGTCTTCGCTCCCCACGTACATCAGTGAGCCTTGACTGCCCATGACTTTGTCTCCAGTTCACCGCTTTTTCTTCCTTGGACCACTTTTGATAGGTACTGACCACTGCAGACCAGGAACACCCCACTAGAGCTGCAGTTTTGGAGACACTTTGACCAAGTCATCTAATCATAACAATTTGGCCCTTGTCAAAGTTGCTCAAATCCTCACGCTGCCCATTTTTTCTGCTTCTAACACATCAACAAAATGTTAACTTGCTGCCTAATATATCCCACCCACTGTCAGGTGCCATGATAACCAGATAATCAGTGTTCACCAGTCAGTGCTCATAATGTTATGGCTGATCAGTGTAAGTACTTTGTATCATTGAATCGTACACATTTGAGGGCCAGAGCAGAGATGTAAGAAGAGAGGATGTTTAGTTTTATTTAACATCAAGTTTATTTTTCATCTGTATACAGTCGTAGTCTGTTTACATACTGTTCAATTAATAGCAGTGCAAAGCTCTTATTATGTCTCTATCACACCACAAATCGTGTTATTTTTTGAGATCATAAAGTAGCATCATCAAAACTTGGCTGCAGTGTACTCCACTAAAAAATGGACAATAATTAAAAGTATGAAGGCTGTTATACACAAATACATAAACAGAGGCAAAAACAAATATGCCACGACCAAGGCCAACAAAAGATAAATAGCTAGGACTACATTTCCTCAACTGCGTTACTGTCAGAAGATACAGTGAGAGTAGCCAGAAAAGTCCACCATGCATTTCAAATGAAGGAAATGAGACACATTAACCATATTAAATGTATTTATATCCCTCTCACAAAGGAAACATATTCCCGAAGATAGATAAGATTGTCTGTATGTTCAAGCTGGGGTCGTGGAGGGGATGAGGTTTAGGTTATATGCAAAGAGAACATTACAAAACATTGATTGACATGCACAAGTACCCCTGTAGAAAAATGTTGACTTTTTAAATATACATTGTCACAATATGTATTTTTCCAGTAATTCTATACAACCAGGACAAAAACGAATGTAATTATGAAATATTTGAAAGTCAGAGGGTCCAAATAAATTCACTGCACGGGGATTATTTTACAACATGTGTTTACACTATATTATGGCAGATTTTCATTTGACCAGATATACGGTGCGCCTACCCTTACCTTCAGAGTAGCTCTATCTGTACTAGCGCGCCTTAGGGTGCTTTTTTGATAAGCTGCGCTTCTTTTCTTTAGTGTGTCAGTGTCTGTGTTTGAGCTGAAGCGAAAATCGCCTCTCCACGACCCAGTGGTTAAGAATGAATCGTACCGCTCATCTTTCAGCAGCGTCCCACAACGGCTTATATCTGTAAAACTAGGGGTGCAGTAGGCCGTGGGGAAAACGGGGAGACTAGCGGCGGTTGAACGGTAAACATAATCACGCCGGCAGAGCTTAAAATAAAACACTCCACTGATTAAAAGGATGAAAAGAAAGGAAACGCCAGCCAGAGCGATAATCAAATAGAGCGTTAAGTTATCGTTGTCCTGTGATTCGTCAGCAAACTCAAAGAGTTCGTTTAAAACAGGCAGCCCGTCTCCAATTGCTATACTGACTGTAACAGTGGCGGAGAGAGACTCGGGCCCGTTATCCGTTACTAAAACTGTAACAGTTTGTTTCGGTTCATCGTCCTCCATGAATGCTCGCACAGTCCTGATTTCTCCTGTATGCAGACCGACAATAAACAGGTTAGGCCGCGTTGCTGTGATTATTCTGTAGGAAAGCCAGGCGTTATGCCCAGAGTCGGCGTCCACAGCTACCACCTTAGTAACCAGGTAACCTCTAGGTGCTTCAGCTGGCACCATATCTTCAGCAATGAACCCTGTGGTTTGGACAGGATATAGGACGACAGGTGTATTGTCATTTTGGTCCTTAATAAAAACGTTTACAGTGCAGGTGGTGGAGAGTGGAGGGTCGCCTCCATCTCGAGCTGTCACCTTAATCTGGAAGTGGACTAACTGTTCGTAATCAAACAGGCGTGATGTGAAGAGCTCCCCCGTTTCTGAGTTTATGGTAAGGAAGGAGGACACTTCTGAGTTTGTGTCCCTTGATATTTCGTACAGTATTTTAGAGTTAGACCCGTCATCAATGTCCTCTGCGTTCACTTTCATCACAAACGTGCCAACAGGTTGGTTTTCCAAGATGTTGGCATCGTACTTGCTCTGCTTAAAAGTCGGAGGGTTATCATTTATATCATTAACCATTATTGTTAAAACCTTTACACTAGAGAGTGAGGGAGAACCCGCATCAGTGGCAGTAATTGTGATGTTATACTCTGGTTGAAATTCTCGGTCTAGTATCCCGTCAGTCACCAACATGTAATAGTTTTTGACCTCTGATACAAATTTAAACGGAACATTGTCTGAGATTGTACAGGTGACGCGCCCACTACTCCCAGTGTCCAGGTCATAAACATTCATCAGAGCAACCATAGTTCCTGGTTTGGAGTCTTCGGCCACGTTAGGAGAGGCTGACTTTATCTCTATGACAGGTTTATTGTCGTTTACGTCGATGATGTCAACTATAAGCTTGCAGTGAGAAGCCTGACCACCACCATCTTTAGCCTGAACATCCAGCTCGTGCGTACTAGCCTCTTCATAGTCAATAAGACCCGCCACCCGAACTTCTCCACTCAGGGGGTTAATTTCAATAACTCCCCCCATCTTGTCTGACAGGTGACTGAAAGAGTATGTAATGTCTCCATAAACACCTTCGTCTAAGTCCGTGGCATTCAGCGTTGCTATGGCAGTCCCTATGGCCGAGTTCTCTGGCACAGAAGCTTTGTAAACTCGCTGGCTAAAAACTGGGACATTATCATTGGCGTCCAAAACACGGACGTGGATAGAAGCAGTTCCTGATCTGACTGGATTTCCCCCGTCAATTCCATTGATTTTCAGTACATGTTCAGCTTTTGCCTCCCGGTCCAAGGGTTTTTTCAGAACTAGTTCCAGATAAGCATTGCCGTTTATTTGGGTGCTCATTTCCAGTGCAAAGTGATCATTCGGGCTCAGTTTATATTCACGGACCGAGTTGGTTCCCAGATCTGGGTCATGCGCGCTCTCCAAGGGAAAGCGTCTCCCCAGAACTGTGGATTCGACTAAATCTAGTTGTATTTCCCCTGCAGCAAACACTGGACTGTTGTCATTTATATCTGCAACATCTAAAACTAAGCTGTATGCTTGAAGGGGATCTTCAAGTAGGAGCTGATACTGTAGGGTGCAGACACTGGCTTGCGCGCAGAGCTCCTCTCGGTCTATCCGTTGGCTGATCAAAAGATTGCCTGACGCAGTGTCCAGTTCACACAGCTGGCTAGTTCCTTCTGCAACAACACGGGCTCGACGAGCATCAAGCTCCGTCACTCCCAGCCCCAGATCCCGCGCAACATTCCCGATAACCGACCCCCGTTGCATCTCTTCTGGAAGGACATAACGGACTTCTCCAAACGAAACACAAAAAAGGAGGCAAAACCATAAAAAATGAAGCCACCATTTGAAGTTACTTCTCTTTTCCATTATTGAAGGTGCCTTCAGAGACAGATGCACTGCCAACGTTATAGTTAAATCCTAAACATAAAAATAGCAACTGAAAATGCAGCTGTAATCCAACGGTTCCCTGCTTCTCTAGCTGAGTTACTCATGCTCTATTAGGGAAGCTGTCCGCTTGGATTCCTCTCTCTCTGTGCCCATTTCACAACTCCTCTCTTTCTCTCTCTCTCACTCTCTCTCTCTCTGTGTGTCTCTCTCTCTCTCTCTCTCTCTCTCTCTCTCTCTCTCTCTCTCTCACACACACACACACACACACTCTCTCATTCTCTCTCTCACACACTCACACACACACACACACACACACACACACACACACACACAGAGAGAGAGAGAGAGAGAGAGAGAGAGAGAGAGAGAGAGAGAAACACAGAAACACACAGTCTCTCTCCTCCTCTCCCTCATATACAACCAAACATGAGCATGCCTACACAGCCCTCGGCTCCAACCCAATGCTCTAGTTCCACTGGCACAGATAGAGTGAGACACGACATAGCATCCATGAGTCAGACATTATAAAAGAGCGTCACCAAGAGACTGGGATGATAATTACAACAGTATATGCTTTAAGAAACATGCATTACATTTGCAGATTTTTTTCATATAATTTTTCACTGTGACCAAGATAAGATCAGCCAAAAATCAGACTGTGATAAATTCATATTATAGTAAATTATGCCCTTAATATTTCAACATTTGTGTTTGAAGAAACAGGGAATGGACAGAATAAAATCAACACCTATACAATGTAATGCAATCCTATACAATGTTTTTGCTGTGGATAGCACCTATGCAAATGTTGCAGTGCTTAATTTTTGTTGATATTCTCAGGGATGTGTTGATAAATCCCTGTGACACAACGATTTAACTTTTCAGTTAACTTAAGTTTGTGGTGCTCTGCACTGTATTACACTGCATAGGGGCTGATCACTACAACACTATATGTTGGCCATGGAAACCTTCAGGTGTTTGGGATCTACAATCTCTCAGCCACAAAATCTATAAATTAGGATTTAAATTGTTTTGCTTCAGTTTATTAATCATCATAAGCTCAAGTATGGATCAAAATAAATTCTAATGACCCCCCAAAGTGAAAGATTTGATGTTAGTCACATAAAAAAAAAAAATTGGCTAATATTTGTATAATTCATTAATAATACATAGTTTTTATTGTATGTTAGCTGTTTAGACAGGCCATGTAATAATTTGCTTTGGATTTAAGTTACTTTATTCAGATAAATTCTGAACACATTTTATATCAGTTTGGAGAAATGCTGCATGTAGTTTAGTCTAACTTCAACTACCTTAAATTACCTGAGTTACCTAAACAATAAATACTCACTACTCAAATCACACATCTTTCATATATTTGAGTAACTTAAACGGTTTAAGGCAATTGGTTTCCACAAACAGTTTCCTCAACATGAGTTGAACTATGTTGACAGTGTAGTCTACATTATAAACAAGGACGTTACTGCTGATCCACTTCTAAAGAACCATACTGAGTTTGCTCCCTGCATATTAATCCCAGTCTGGTGAACAAAAGTCCAGAATTTGTACACCAGGGAAGTCATTGCACTTGATTCAACTTCTTCCCTGTGGTCTGTGGTACAGAGCACTCTATACCCAAACAACCAACACAAAAACAGCTTCTTTCCACACACCATCACACTCACAATCAAATCCGCCATGCAAAGTCTGTGGCAAACACACCGCCCACAAAATCACCTCACTGATATAAATTGTACAATAACTAGTACATAAGTTCCCCTCATTATGATTGGCAGGTCTGGCTGTATACTGTAGATATACTTTTCAATCAACATGCACATAAAACAAACACTGAATGATGAGTAATGTATTAATCATTGGTCATAACATTTTATGGAGCAGAGAGTGGATGTCTGAAGAAGCTGCAGCACTTCTAAGCTTTGTAAAGTTGATCAAATTTGACACTAAAATAAGCATTAGAATTAGTAATTTATGTTGTACGTATAAAGATGCTGAGTTGTCTATGTGCAGGTGTGTTTACTCTCAAGCCAAAAACTCAAAGTTTAGGGAAACAGATTTTTTATTGGCCAGTTAAAAACTTAGCGATTAATGTACATTGGCAATTTGCATCCAGTACTAATGTTCAGTGCCAATGTAACATTTGTTGGCAGTCACCTCACCTGTATCATAGACAAAAGTTTACTGTATCTCAATCTGTCTTTATCATAGGCATAAGTGACAAAACATAAATGTCTGCGTTCCTCTATCTACAAATGACATTGAAAAGGTTTTAATGAAATAAAAAAATCAAACACAATAAAATATGAGATACAAAATTTTTCTTTTGATTTCAACATGAGTAAATGATGAAATTAAAGTAATAAAACTCAGTGAGACCAGAAACAGACACCAGGATAGAAAACAGAGGCCATAGTGCCCAAATCAGTGATCAGCACCAAGGACAGATACATTAGTTACAACAGGCACATCAAAGAGGCTTCATATGAACAAATAGGGAAAGCCTTTGTGTGTGTGTGTGTGTGTGTGTGTGTGTGTGTGTGTGTGTGTGTGTGTGTGTGTGTGTGTGTGTGTGTGTGAGAGAGAGAGAGAGAGAGAGAGAGAGAGAGAGAGAGAGAGAGAGAGAGAGAGAGAGACAGAGAGAGAGAATGTGTGTTTTATATTTTCAACAACAGACTCATCAAATGACACTCATATGAACCCTAACTGCATGTGTGTGTGTGTGTGTGTGTGTGTGTGTGTGTGTGTGTGTGTGTCCGTGAGAGAGAGAGATAATATGTGATTCACTAATGTGAATCTGGGAAAAGTGATACAAAACACGTGCCTACCTCAGGAGAACCATTACAGTCCCCAAAAGCATCTACAAAGTCACTTGGACTTTTCCTCAGAGTCTGGTCAGCAGGCAGTGTGTTGTCATTGTAAGATGTTACGAACTTAAAGTCACTGGTTCTAGATCCTGTTGTCAGGTATGCGTCATAATTGTAAGCGCTACGTAAAGTTCCCGTGCCGTCAACATCTGCATAATTAGGAGGGAGATACGCACTAGGGATGGCAACTGCTCCATCAAACAACAGTCTGGGCTTTCTCCTGCGACAAAACCTCACACCCAGGATGATGATGATGAAGGTCAGAAAAAAGGTGGACACAGAAACCAGCGCGATGATCAGATAAGAGGTCAGTTTGGAATTCTTCTCATCATAAGAAATATCCTTCAGTTCTGGCACCTCAGCCAAGTTATCAGAAATAAGTAAATACATGGAACAGGTGGTAGAGAGAGAGGGCTGTCCGTTATCTTTCACTGACACAATAAGGTTCTGTTTCATGCTGTCTGATTCAGAAATGTCCCGCTGTGTCCTGATCTCTCCGCTGTGGAGACCAATAGTGAAAAGTCCCGGATCAGTGGATTTGACTATATGATAGGACAGCCAGGCGTTCTGTCCGGAGTCCGCGTCCACCGATATCACTTTGGACACCAGAGAGCCTCCGTGTGCAGCTTTGGGGACCAGCTCGGTCATGAAGGAGTTGCCCTCCGGGGCGGGGTACAGTATCTGAGGAGAGTTGTCATTCACATCAGATATAAAGACACTGACGGTCACGTTGCTGCTGAGCGGAGGAGAACCGTTGTCTCTGGCCATCACGTGGACTTTAAAACTCCTGAACTGTTCATAATCAAACGACCTCACAGCGTGGATCACCCCCGTGTCTCCGTTAACAGACAGATAGGAGGACACAGGGGCACCGTTCACCTCACCAGCTAACAGAGAATAAATCACTGTACCGTTTTGTCTCCAGTCGGGGTCTCGAGCAGTAACGGAACATAAAGTGGAGCCAGGTTTGTTATTTTCAGTCACATATGCGCTGTAGGACTGTTCCTCAAACACAGGTGGGTTGTCGTTGATGTCTGCTACAGATAACTGAACAGTTTTAGAGGAGGACAGAGGTGGAGAGCCCTCGTCAGTGGCAGTGATTGTAATGTTGTAATCAGACACTAGTTCACGGTCCAGTTGTCCTGTGGTCACCAGAGAATAATAGTTTTTAATAGAAGGAACCAACTTAAAAGGGACGTTTTGTTGAATGGAGCAGCGGACCTGTTTGTTAGTCTCAGAGTCTCTATCCTGTACGTTAATGATGCCCACCTCTGTACCAGGTGGGGTGTCCTCTGGAATGGGATTTGTCAGTGATTTCAAATCGACTACAGGAGCGTTGTCATTCACGTCAGTGATAGAAATTATTGCTTTAGCATATGATGACAGTCCTAATCCATCTTTTGCTTTAACGCGTATTTCAAATGATGTGGTAGTTTCATAGTCAACTGTGCCTATTATTCGTATCTCCCCCACTTTACGGTCAATGCTAAATATCTTCTTCACATCCTCTGAAACATGTCCGAAGTCATATGTCACATCTCCATTGACTCCCTCGTCTACATCAGTTGCACTCACTGTGACCACCACAGTGTCTAAAGGAGAGTTTTCAGGCAGACTGGCTTTATAAACTGCCTGACTAAACACTGGGGCGTTATCATTAGCATCCAGCACAGTGACGTGTATGACTACAGTACCTGATCTCTGAGGAGAGCCACCATCTAAAGCTGTAAGGAGCAAATTGATCTCCTGTTGTTTTTCACGATCAAGCTCTTTATCAAGAACAAGCTCTATTGTGTTTCCATTAGAAGCCAAAATGAAATGTTCATTCTTTTTCAGGCTGTATTGTTGAACTAAATTTTGTCCTACATCCGCATCGTGCGCCTCCTCTATCACAAAACGAGCTCCCCTGTCTGCAGACTCTCTAATTTCTATATTAATCGATTCTTCGTTAAATTGAGGGGCGTTATCATTAATATCTTGAATGTGGAGACTAATCCGATGGAGCTCGAGAGGATTCTCCAGCACGAGCTCATGTTGTAGGATGCACGAAGCCTTTTCTCCACAAAGCCCCTCTCGGTCAATCCTGTCTGCAACAATCAGTTCTCCGTTATTCAGGTTAATGTCACAGTAACGCTTCTCAGTCCCATCGGTGTCAATACGGGCTCTTCGGTTGGACAGCGCACCCGTCTTCAGCCCGAGATCCTTGGCAATATTTCCAATAACTGATCCTCGTTTCATCTCCTCGGGAAAAGAATAGCTCATGTCTCCATACGCGCCATGCAAAAAAAGAAGCAGGAAATAAAACCCGCATGTTTGAAACAGGATTATTTTCGAATCCATCATCAACGATGAGTTTCTAACCGGTTGAAGAATAAAGCGAACAAAGACAGTTCAAACACATAGCACGAATATCAGCTGCGATTCCGGGGTAGTGTCCCTATCAAGACACAAGAGCACAATAATATGTGTCCACACCAGAGGATAGAGGAATTCAAACATCTTAAGGTTGGTGTATAGCGCCACCGTGAGTTAGATTAAACAAAAAACGCTGTTAAAAAATAAAAAAAGGAACAACTTCAAATTGACTGTAACCTGCGCTGCCTAAAACTACTGTTATGCATATAAATATGTCACTGCAACTACTATGATGTATAAGCAATATGCATTAATAAAATCAATAATGTTTTGTTTTTAATCATATGTTGTGTTACTGTGAGAATGCAGTCTTGGTTCTGTGCTGTATTTCTTCACACAGTGATTAGTCAGTTACTTAGCCTCATGTTCACCATAACATTACTGCATACACTTAATCTAGGTAAATAATGGTCGCAGGCAGGTATTTCCTGTGACCATCTGAGGTAACCTGATGCAGTGATCCCAGTATCTGTGTTTATTTTGTCCCCCTTCAGGATGTAATGCTAACTTGGTGTTCTGCATGAGTTCTGGATATATTGGGCATAAAATGTTGAGCTACTTGTAATGCCAAGACCAGCACCCTTTTGAACTGTTAGATTTCTTACTTCTACTGTTGTCCTGTTGATATGGTCTGATTATATCCTATATTGATGAAAGTGTGTGGGAAACTTAACTAAAAGCTACTGAAAATATATCATGTGTCCATCATGTTTCTTCTTCAAGTTTGGAGTAATCTACGCACCATATTAACTATGTCATTAGAGTAGATTCTCTCTCAGAGCTCTGTCTGTATAACAAGATGCAATGACTTTTGGATTTCTGTTTTGAATTTTCTTTATTTGTTTCAGTCTGAACATACTACAGCTAGTTTTATGTCCTTTGTGAAGTGAATGCATGTTTGTTAAATATACTAATGCTAATACGTTTTCATTGAAATCCAGAAGGAGGGAAATATATTCAGCTTTGGCCTCCACTTGTTCTGATTCTTTTTATATTGTATATGAAAAACACTTGCACATCTTTACATATTATAATTCAAATACATACAAGACAAGCTCATAATATTGTAATAATGGGAATTCACGCACACTGCTCTTTCATTCAAGAGTAACTCATAATACCAAGAGGGACTGAGGGGGGCAAAATGATAAGTTGATGGTCATATATAAATAAATGTCTTAAATGCAAGAACAGAGTGAGGGAATCACCCTTTGTCACAGGACACTTTAATCTGATCAATATAGTGACACATTTTTGTTTCTTGCCTAAGAAAAAAGGCCACGACCCTTAAAAAACCACTTGTACTAAGTATACAAACGTGTAAAACACTGCAGAACTACAAATATTTTGGTGATTTAAGGTGATTACAATAATGTACCATGCAACATACAGTTAAAGATGGACTCAACAAGCCTTTGTCCTCCTCTGAAAAGAGGAAAACAAAACAAACTACCTCCTACCATGATAGAATAGAGATACAGGATATAGTTTGTCATTGAGTATTAAAAACACAAGAAATCCGGTAGACACCAAAATCACTGTAATAGAAAAACAATTTGGGTTACCTGATATTCAGTCAAGTCACAACTTTATCTACAACACAAGGCCAAGCCTGGATCTACAGATTGAAAACGCAGACTGAACAGGTCATTCCTTCAGAGTGTATCATTAAACCAGCGCAAACACTGCAGAAATGTCCATTGGACTGCAATTAAAATCAAAAACGTATTACTGTTTAATTCTGCATTTGTATTATCTGTAGTTTACAATCACAGTGGCCTGACCAGAGAGCAATCAGCTAGAACTCAAACAAAAGGAAGTCTGAACAAACACACCAGTTGATAAAGGTTAGTGGACTGGATTCAAATGTAAAGACCTACAGGTCATGCCATGCACCAACAGAACCAGCATTAGACAACTATCTATTTAGGGTTTCAGTCATTCAGCTTTTAAGGTATAGAAATCAGTTTTCTGGAAATTATTGTGACATTAATACTGTGGCCATAAATGTAAGGCCAATATATGTATTAACTTGTATTGATGTGGCAGACAGTCCATACCAGTGTGTAATTGAGATCCAAAACAAGCAGCAGTAGGTCAAGAAGAAGTCATCAAGAATAAAGAGTCACAAAGCTCAACCTGAATGTTCCTTCTGAGACAAATGGCACAGTAATGCAGGTGTATGAAGTAAGAGTTAGATGCATGAAAATTTAGTTGTTATTTGTTTGATGTTTGTCTGGTTTTAAGAGGAGAGACAGAGAGAAATGTGCCTGCCAGAGACCTTTAGCAGGAAGAGAAAATTAATATAAATGGCACACATACAATCTGCCGCAGGTCATCAGTGAAACTTACTCACACTGCAGCCTTTATGCTTCAGCTGATTGGTGATATAGCAGGTTATTTTAGGACAAACTTAGCAATGATTTGATTTAAGCACTGACATTAGATGTTTGTCAAATGTTATAATATATTACAATAGTGAAAAAGTAAAGATCAAGTATTTGATAATGGTACAAGAACAATATTCTTTTAAAAAATGAACGTGACATGAACAATAAACATACTTTATGCAAATCAAACACCAATAACACATCTACAAATGAATAATCAGCCCTGGCAAACTGACAGAAGATAAGACTAGAATTAGAAAAAAATAATAGTTAGGACAAACACATATAAACTGTAAAAATAATTTGAACAAAGAAACATTCTGATGAATTGGACAAAAGATACAGTTTCCAAAACTCACTGCTACACTACTACACTGTGTCAGGGGTGTATTGATATTTAAGAAAACTGAAACTAACAACACCTATCTAAAACTAAAAACAGACTGATGTCACATCTTGACAGTGTGAGTCATTGTTTAAATCAAATTGATTTTGGAAACTAAAATAAAATGTTAAGAAAATGAAATAGTTTAACAAGATAGAGAAAAAGAGGCACAAAATGACACACGACAACCAATGATTACGGACGAGGTGAGTGTAAAAATGATCCAGCTATCAGCTATGCAATTAATTCAACATGTTTCTTTGATTTCCAATTAATCAATATAAATTAAACTCAGTACGACCAAAACGTGACAACTGACCAAGCTGCAGTTTTTGAGGCGTTGGGAATGAGAACGTGTTGCAAAAGAAGAGGTCAGGCGGCCTACATTAGTGATCAGCACCAAGGACAGCGAAACAATATGAACAGATGAAGGTTGACTGCACGTGTGTGTGAATGAGTATGAGAGAAAGAAAAAAAAAGTGTGAGTCAATGAGTAAGTGAGCGTGTGTGTGTGTGTGTGTGTGTGTGTGAGTGTGAGAGTGAGTGTGAGAGTGAGAGAGAATATGTGATTCACTAATGTGAATCTGGGAAAGGTGATATGAAACACGTGCCTACCTCAGGAGAACTATTACAGTCCCCAAAAGCATCTACAAAGTCACTTGGACTTTTCCTCAGAGTCTGGTCAGCAGGCAGTGTGTTGTCATTGTAAGATGTCACGAACTTAAAGTCACTGGTTCTAGATCCTGTTGTCAGGTATGCGTCATAATTGTAAGCGCTGCGTAAAGTTCCTGTGCCGTCAACATCAGCGTAATTAGGAGGGAGATAAGCGCTGGGGATGGCAACTGCTCCATCAAACAACAGTCTGGGCTTTCTCCTGCGACAAAATCTCACACCCAGAATGATGATGATGAAGGTCAGAAAAAAGGTGGACACAGAAACCAGCGCGATGATCAGATAAGAGGTCAGTTTGGAATTCTTCTCATCATAAGAAATATCCTTCAGTTCTGGCACCTCAGCCAAGTTATCAGAAATAAGTAAATACATGGAGCAGGTGGCAGAGAGAGAGGGCTGTCCGTTATCTTTCACTGACACAATAAGGTTCTGTTTCATGCTGTCTGATTCAGAAATGTCCCGCTGTGTCCTGATCTCTCCGCTGTGGAGACCAATAGTGAAAAGTCCCGGATCAGTGGATTTGACTATATGATAGGACAGCCAGGCGTTCTGTCCGGAGTCCGCGTCCACCGCTATCACTTTGGACACCAGGGAGCCTCCGTGTGCAGCTTTGGGGACCAGCTCGGTCATGAACGAGTTGCCCTCCGGGGCGGGGTACAGTATCTGAGGAGAGTTGTCATTCACATCAGATATAAAGACACTGACGGTCACGTTACTGCTGAGCGGAGGAGAACCGTTGTCTCTGGCCATCACGTGAACTTTAAAACTCCTGAACTGTTCATAATCAAACGACCTCACAGCGTGGATCACCCCCGTGTCTCCGTTAACAGACAGATAGGAGGACACCGGGGCACCGTTCACCTCACCAGCTAACAGAGAATAAATCACTGTACCGTTTTGTCTCCAGTCGGGGTCTCGAGCAGTAACGGAACATAAAGTGAAGCCAGGTTTGTTATTTTCAGTCACATATGCGCTGTAGGACTGTTCCTCAAACACAGGTGGGTTGTCGTTGATGTCTGCTACAGATAACTGAACAGTTTTAGAGGAGGACAGAGGTGGAGAGCCCTCGTCAGTGGCAGTGATTGTAATGTTGTAATCAGACACTAGTTCACGGTCCAGTTGTCCTGTGGTCACCAGAGAATAATAGTTTTTAATAGAAGGAACCAACTTAAAAGGGACGTTTTGCTGAATAGAGCAGCGGACCTGTCTGTTATTCTCAGAGTCTCTATCCTGTACATTAATGATGCCCACCTCTGTACCAGGTGGGGTGTCCTCCGGTATGGGATTTGTCAGTGATTTCAAATCGACTACAGGAGCGTTGTCATTCACGTCAGTGATAGAAATTATTGCTTTAGCATATGATGAAAGTCCTAATCCATCTTTTGCTTTAACGCGTATTTCAAATGATGTGGTAGTTTCATAGTCAACTGTGCCAATTATTCGTATCTCCCCCACTTTACGGTCAATGCTAAATATCTTCTTTACATCATCAGTAATATGTCCAAATTCATAGGTTACATCTCCATTGACTCCCTCATCTGCATCAGTTGCACTCACTGTGACCACCACAGTGTCTAAAGGAGAGT